TTTGTCACCTATAAGTAGGATATTTGTTTATTTACATTGTGTTGAATTTGGACAGCATTTTTTAACTATTTTTCGATATTATTATTATTATTATAATAGTATATAATAGTATTTTTGATCTTCATTTAGTGTTAATTTGAGTTTAGTTTTCATGTTTTCGTCATAAATATGTTTATCATGTATTTAAGACTATTTTATTAAACATATTCACCTATCTACACAACCATCTAGAAATATTTGTCTACTAAACGCAGGACATCATTTATTATGTGGTTTACAGGAAATTTCAGGTACCTAATGTTTATTATTGATAGACAATTAAAAATCTAATTATACTTATATTTCATAATATAGAATGCAGTTTGATTCTAGACATAAAATGTTGCAAAATAGCAATAATGTGAATGTGTAGATATCAATTTATTGCAAGAAACAACATTTTAGGACTTACACTTGGAAAATAGTGAAAGCTTCTATTTTGATTTTGACATTAACACCATATTTATTATAAACACTATAACAAATAAATAAAATTGATGCTCAAAAATAAGAAAAAATTCGAATTATAATTGATATATAAATAGCGAACAAGAATGCCAATGTGGCCATCTGATGAACTGATTTTAAAACAAAACTAATAAATAACCTAAAATTTAAACAAAAATTCAATATAAATAAATAGGTTTCATACAAATCCTTAAATAAATATTGGTAGATACAAATTTCGCTACTTAAAAAAAGGTGTTTCTTCTGCTACAAAGGTGTTAAAATCCGTTGACGTAGCGGAGTCCTATTACTGCTGGCAGCACTGGAAAAAGTTCTCCTTATAAACACTTTTTACAAATTTCTTTAACAAAAGGAGTATCGCTTAGCTTGAATCGCGGATAGACGCTTGAAACTGAATAAAATGTACTTATTTCCTAAAAATGCCCGTGTATGTGTGTGTTCACAACTATCTTTTTTTTATATACATATTTTACGTTTTGAACCGATATATGTATCGTAGAAATCATCAGATATAAATAAATCCACAAAAAGAGTTGTTTTGCAAAAAAAATGAAGGTGCCCCTGAAAAAACTGGTGCCATTACAATATGGATGTTCTCTTGTACAGGGCGTCCGCCTAATAATTTTAACCATAAGTTATCCGAGAGATTTGAGAATTAATGTGAAAAATCACAAATAATTTTATGGAATAATGCAAATTAAAATATTACTGTATTTAAAAAGAAACAAGCATTAATCTTTTTTTTTTTCAGAAATCTAGATTAACGATAACAGAAGTAGTCCAGTGGCTTTAATACTTTTCAGAACAGGAACCAATAAGGTATTTGTTTATAATTTTAGTTTCCACGAATGATGGAGAAGTATCAAGAACTATCGAAAGTCTCCTGTTTGGACATGTGACTAAAAATGTATGCAAATGAAAAATCATTTATAAGAAGACTAAGATACCAGTAGAACAATACAGTAGAAAAAAACATTAAACATAGAACGAGGTAAAAATAATAACTTACAGAAAGAAGACATTAAGAAAGAAGATTATGTCATTCCTTTATATGGTAGATAATTGTGACTTTCATTTAAAACCACAAAAACGATATTGGTAGAAGTTCAACGTTTCACTCGGACACCCTGTATAATCTACAACGAATAAACTACGACCTTCAAGAAAAAGTATTTAATTTATTGCTAATATTTGCTATTTTTAAACGACTTATTTAAATTGATGATTGTTTATAATAAGCAGGTGTGCAAGTCTGTAGATAATAAACTTAATTTTTATAAATTGTTACTATAATAAAATATTAATTTAATTAGACAGAATAATACATTGGTGTCTAATAATGTATGGTAAGAATAGACATGATGTCAATAATTATTTTATTCTTCTTCGAATGTATGTACGATTTTTGCCGAAAATGTTGATGCAATTTTTTAACAGTGTCTTAATTAAGAAACTGTATATTTTACGATAGATTTTTTTTTTAAATATCAATAACAAAACACGTGTTGTAAACATTGACATAATACTACAAAATATATTTTGCAATTTAACTGTAAAGAAATTATGCAAAGTGGAATTTTTACTTACATCTATAAAAGTTTCCATAAGTATGAATTAATCAATAATCAAATAGCCTTATTTTCTTTCCTTTGTCTAGTTTCCCTCCAGTTTATTTGCTTCTTTGGAATTATTTCTCTTAGATCTTCTACTAAATTTATTAGTAGGATTGCTTTCTCTTCTTTTTTCCAATTACCCGAGCTATCCTTATTCTATGTATGTTAATTCTTGTTGACTTAAAAGTTCATTTTGACATTACCACTTTTTTTAAAAGCCGTATATAGGTGCTTTGGTATCTTTAAGGGGCTCTTTCATACTGTGATCTAAATGTTGCTGCAATTTAAAGTAGTTTGTCATCTTTGAGATGATGTCTTCTTTCACACCCAGCTAGAACTACCTACATCTTGGATATATCTTCCTTGAACATCCGCTGCATGCATATGAGGCGTAGGTTTAGTCTTAGATCAATCCATAAAAACAATGTATAATTATTTTAATTTTGTTATCTTTAAGTTTTATTCCATTTCTGCCGCCTTTCCTTTTGCCTTGATTTATTTATATTAGAAAACTTTTTATTCAGTCTGTATGATATGTTTTTTCTTTAATGTATTGATTATTTATCATAGTTCGTCTTACATCTCTTTCACAAGTAATAGATGTAGAATTATAAAATATGCAGAAAAACTACGAAAGTTGGAAAGACGAAATTGCAATAGTGTCTAAAGAGAGTCCGAGAGAGAGAGTCTATCTTAAGAATCGCTATAATTTTTATGAGAGAGCAAAGAATTATATCCCTCCTGGATATAAGATTAAAAGAATATAATAATAATAATAAAGTTTATTTAGATAATACAATAATATATAGTTTTACTTAGGTCCAACACAAGCGAAACCGATAATATTATGGTATAAATCATACGCTCTATGCAAAAAGTGTATACAGTGCATGATTTGTACCGTAACATTATCGGTTTTGCATGTGTTGTAACAGACCTCTTATTACCCGAAATAAACCCATATAGGTGCTACTTCATATTTCATAAAAAAATTATACTAAAATCCACTGCTTAAAAAATTAAAATTGTTTATTTATCCTATCTCAGCGACAAACTCATTTAATAATATCTATTCAAAAATATACTCATAAATAAATAAACATTAGACTGATATCATCAAGTCAAAACATATTGTTAAAAAACAATTGCTTTAAATATATTGTATAAAACAATTGAATGACTATCTACGGTAACTTGATCCACCGCGCCGAGCTGTCTGAAATACACGACAAGACGGTCTTTCTACAGAGTGTCCCACAATTTCAAAAATGAGAATTTATTCGCCTCTAAGAAAATAAGTTGTTGATAGGGTTCTTAAATGTGTTTAAATCTTATCTAAATAATATCATTTAAGCCAAAATCTTCACCCTTGAATCATAATCAGTAACCGAGGGTAACTTATAATCCTTGTTAATCCTTAAATTGGACGTTCACATCCTAACTTAACCATTATCTGAATTTTGGTTTAAATAGTACATTTCGTATATTGTACCACTAGATGCAGGTGCGTTAAATGATCTATAAATTTAAGACACCTGTTACGAGATAATTCTACCAACTTATTGACAGGTAATATTTTCCAATCATTGCAAAAATCTTTAGGATTCGTTTTTAATTAAATTTGAGTTTATATTTGCAGTTTTAAACATTTAAAAAAAAAGTGAAACAATACGTTTTATAACAATTTTTTTGGCACTTTCTACCTACACATGAAATTTAATGATACATCCAATTTTGATTTTTGTTAAAAATGGTTCATATGAAGTATTTTTTGTTAATAATCTTATAAGTACTATATTAATAAATATTATTAAACTCTATGTATATAAATAAGCTCAAACAAGGATATGCACAAGCGGGTTTTATTGTTTGGTAACTAAAGTTCTAGTCCTGCATATAATAACGTAAGTCAATGAAATAACGTTAAAAAAATCTATTTATTTATCACTCAATTTTCCATATAGTACTTTTTTAAAGTCCAAAATTTTATTTTTTGTACGTGTCAAAACAATTTTCTTTGATACAACCACGCAAATTCTTTAATACAAATTCAAAAACGTTATAAAATTGAAATGTGGAAAAGATGAAAGTGAAGAAAATATTTATTTTTTCATTCTGTATTATGATGAAAATAACTACGCAAATGAAGCGCATATTATTTTAACAATATTTACCGAAAACTAAGTTAATAACAATAAGAAATTGATAAATAAAACAACATTGTAAATTTATTTTTATGAAAATTTGATTCATTAAAGTATAATTAAATACGGTATAATAAATTTAAACGTTTATTCAAGAAAAATATAAAGATTGATATATAGGTACATTAATATCCTTGACAGAGTTATAGGTACGCCAGAAGTTTCAAGTGTAATAGGTATTAGTCTACATTTTTACAAACTCAAATTATAAATATTTTAACAAAATCATAAAATTCTGGTACTTATTTGATACTGCAACACAATAAATGATGTCTATTCTTCGGCATCTACTTACATAATATTAACACCTAACTCGAGAACATGCTCTAGATGAATCAACAAAAATCAAGATCTCCAAATAAATAATAATAAAAAGATGAAAAGGGTTATTTCATAGAGGTGTTCAATTTTATTCTTCTCAAAAACACTCTTTGGATTTGATATTGAATATTCACTTAAGTGAGAAGAATGATATGTAATGAATTTCCGTAAATTTAAATAAATAACCTACTCGTGAAATTAACGTACCTTTTCAACCCCGTTACAACTAATTTCATTTTAACTACCAGTTTCATGTTATGTCAAAATAAGAGGTTTATACTTAAGAAACTAATCACCGATCGTTTAGTAACGCGAAACGAAAAGGATTTTTGGAAATTACTAAAATGATTCATACCTTTCCGAGGAATGAGCTCGGTATTTAATCCTCAACTCTTGAAATGGTCCATAAAACACTTTGAAAACATTGGACTGTTAAATTAAAACCACAAAAAACTGTTCACAGAACAATCCGAACCCACAAAGAGCACATCACATCAACATATAACAACTAAAACTAAAAAGAAAGTTGTAAAGTAAGTAACTGAAGCCAGGACGGAACCAAACCACACGAGTCAACTATTTGTTGTGTCTTGTACGAGACTGTGAGGCTCTCGAGAACAATAATTCCACCCTCTACCTGTGGTACCTGGGAAGGTGTGGGGTCCGATTTGACCAATGAGAAGGTACCAAATTGTTCGACACGTGCTCTGACAATGACTTAAGTGAGCATTGTCAAACGCTATTGTGAGCAGCGAGTAACTTTTTATGAAAACAACCGCACACAATTGTGTGAGGATGGGGATCCTTTTTTGATGATTCGAGAAGCTGTCAAGGATCTAGAGAGAGAGAAAAAAACGTGACGGTTTTAAATCCGGTGACCTGTCTCGTTCGTCTGCACTGATTAGTAGGTTTTCGGTATTGTTCATCGTTTTTCCGGGCGTGTCCAAAATGTATTTTTTTGTAGGAGGTGACATTTTAAAACTATTTTTTTAACTTTTACTACTAGAGCCCGCTATTTGGAGAAAAATATACCGGATCATATGAAAACAAGCTAATTTTTAATGTTAATCGGTAGCAAATTAAAAATTGACATATTTTCATATTGAGTGCGCGAAAGTAGTGCATTTTTTTGTTTAATTCAATCAAATGCCTCGTAAAACACCGATTTCGCTACGAAATACAAACAATATTTTGTATCCAACTGTACAAACAATAATGCCCCTAAGTTGAAATGTCTTGCATTGCGATTTATTGCAGTAAATTTTATGTAAAAACTCGGATCGACATTAGTAACTATGAAGTTTGAACTGTCAAATAGTTACTATAGTTTTTCCACTGGTCCGGTAATTAACTAGTCATAAGATGGATTACGAACTTGAAAGTTGAAAGTTACCGTAATTCTCTGATGAAAGATGTAAACTTTGCAATTTCAAATATGTTACCGGTCAAGTTCAAACTATTGTATGAAAAAACATAAAATTATTAATATGAAGTTTTATTCAACAGAGAAAAATAGTATAGGTACTATTTAACTACCAAGGAATAGTATGTAGTACTCGCTTAGCTGTATTAATAAATATACATATATACTTATTTTTTATATTACTTACTTTCAGTACCATTACACATATATAAAATGGCTCCGTATAATATTCGAGAAGTCGAAATTAAAAAAAAAAAAAACAAAATGGTACACTAAAATGTACTCATCTTATATAGAAATTTTCTAAAAAAATGCGGAAATCTCACGGATTTTTGCGAAATTTTATAGGTTACCATATATATTGACATGATTGACATCTATTGGTTACGGTATAATTTGAAAGAAGACAAAAATTTTATCTTTTCTAAAACTTTTTCACATCTTGAATACTATTTAGGTAATTATTGAACTTTGTCATCAGAAACATAAAAATTTTTTGTTTTGCATTTTCAATAATTTCTAAGGTAAGTTTTTCAAGCTTAGCTTAATTTGACATTGACGGATAATTCAACACTCAATACAAGAATCTAAGGAAATATGGGGAGCGAAAAAGTCTCGCAACAAGGATAAATGTATAATTATAAAATTTTAGGGTGATGAATGAGACTGCATCACACTATTATTGTTTTTTACTGATCCTACACATACAGGGTAACGAAAAAGTCTGACTAAAAGGAATTTTAGGGTCATAAATGAGACTATTACATTAGTAATGTGGTACTATATTAGTATTTTTGAAAAGAGGAAAAATAAGATTTTCTTTGATATATCACTTGACCTACATTGCAATTTAAAAAAATAATAAAATATGTCCTCTTAAAAATGCAGAATACAATCCCATTTATCCCGCTACAATTTCATAATTATGCATTCGTCGGATTCAAAGAAAATACCTTGTTGGCAGACTTTTTCGCTACCGTTTCTAGGTCCTATCGACAAAATGGTGATTCGGAACTGGCCCCAGAGTCAGGTAACAAACATTAAATGTGTAGGAAAGTGGGTCCAGATCCCAAATTTGCTCAGGGTATATACGAAACTGGGGCCAACTCATTTATGCAACCCGCGATTGCTCTAGGTCACACAGGTTAGGTAAATTAGTTACGCTTTTTTTAATTTAATTTTGTGTATATTTTTTGTAAAGCAACCCGCGATGACTCTAGACCGCATAGATTAGGTTCATTAGTGGTCTTAAATTTTTTCTTATCTATATTTAATTTTTTGCCAAGCAACACGCGATGGTTTTAGGTCGAAGAGGTTGGGTAAATTAGTTAGGTATTTTTCAAATTTTTTTCATTTTGTGTATTTTTTTGCGAAGCAACCAACGATAACTCTAGGCGGCAGTGGTTAGATAAATGGGTTAGATTTTATTTTAGGTTTTCCTTGTCCAATTCTACTACCTAAAATTATGGATATTAGTTAGGTATTCTACGCACATACTACAAAAGTATGCCATTGCGTTCAACTGAACGAATATATTTCATATCCATTCATCCTAGTAAGAAACCTGCAAAAATATGAAATATACCAAGTTAATATTGTGGTTACTCGGCTACTATATTTTTTAAATTTTATATAAGTGACAATTCTGTCAAACTGTCAGTATATTTTTTTAGTTATTGGGAGTTATTAAGGTAGTTCACTCGTAAAACGGCTTTTCTTAAGAATTTAATAAAATTGAAATATAAGGTTAATGAAAGTGTCTTTTATGTAACTAAAAAAAAAAAAATGAAATTTTTTGAGCGTCTGTAAAACGAGATATTAAAAATCAAAATGTGCATAATTAACACTCTTGAAACCTGTCATGTACACAAGCAATGCATTTATTTCAAGATATCTTGAAAACGGTTCTTTCTATATTTTTTAAAAACTAATGTAATGTAAATCAATAAGTTATAAAATTTTCTAAAAAAACGTTTAATTTTTTGACCGTTTTGATAAAAAGATATAGATTTTTAAAGCAGTTGACGCATAGTGGCGTACAATTATATTGTTTTATTGCCACAGACCGGACAAGTTTGATTACTTTACCGCGTCCCTCCGAGGAAGGGACGTTGTTTATATTTTAGGTTAATTTGATTTAACAATTTAAATTTAATTGTATTTAAACATGTCTTCAAAATGAAATTTAAATTTATTTAAAGCAGTTTGACCAAACCCTGAATGGACAGCACCTTTAAATAAATAAAAATATTTTAATGATAATAAAAAATAATAAACATAACAAATACTTATGTATTTTTTTTTAAATTTACCTAGAACTGCTTTCTTCTGAATGCTTAACCTTTCTTTTTGTTGTACGTAGGTACTTTAGTTTCAAGATTACATTCATTACAATTAACATTTAAAATTGAATAAAGGCCCTTTCGAGTTTCATTAGTAATATTTTCAAGAGAAAGAACTCGTTCACACCAGCAACATTTTAAATTTTTTTCCAACTCCAGTAATTTCGCGATGCTTCGACTACTGCAAAGGTTATTTTTCAAGTTTGGGGATTACTTTCTCAATTTTTTTGCATTATTCATAGCCAAAATTAATTTTTTGCGTTTATTGAGGACGGTCTGCTTAACAAATTTTCCTTTATCTCTCAATTGATCCTAACAATGCAATATTTTGATATTTACATTTATTTCACTTTAGGAATATAGTTGACGTTTCACAATATATTTGCGACGTTGCCGGATGGATTTTACGCGATATAATAACATATCTGTATATATAAGATTACATGTGTTGTGTACAGTCTCTTACAAAAATTTCCTTTCTTTAACATTAAGAATCTCGAACTTTTGGTATTCACCATAGGGCGATATTTTTGTGTACGACTGTCGCGAGTGAACTAGGTACCTTAAAATGAGTTATTCTTGTGTGTAGAATCGATATATATTGGTATTTCTCTTTTTATTTCACATATATTTACACATAAATCATAATATTTAATAAAGCTATATGAAATCAATTTATTTACGAAAATTAAAAATAAAATATTAAGTGTGTCGATGGAGCTAGCGCATTTGACTCTCATGCGGGAGGTCCAGGGTACAAATCCACAATCGGAGACTAATTAAATGAAATGGTTTTTTTAACTTTATTTTATCTTATAAATATATAAAAAACATAAATTATTCTTAAATTAGTTATTTCATCTTAATGACCTAAAATAATTTTTAAAATTTGTAGATTTTAGTTAGTGGATCGTAGATAAAATATACTGTAAAACTCGAGTGGATTTTCCGTATCACACTTAGATTATTTAGCACTCCGCCTACGGAGTGAGATATGGCCATCATATCCTGTCTTGTTGCACAAACTACTAATTCCTTACTGGTTACGGAAAAATAAAAATAAAATATAAGAATTTATAGTACGGTTTGTATGTAAGTTATACACATACGAATTGGTCTAATAACTACACATTTGACAGTAAGTAGGTTTTGGAAGAGCTTCTTCAAATATGTATAAATATTACATATATCTATCAATAATTCTGATATATAATTTTTTAAACAATCATACCAATTTAATTTAATTTGACCTAATACCACATGAACAATCATTCCAGATTAATTTAATTTGACCTAGTACCTGTTGATGTGTTGTATGTTGAAATCGGTTGTATAATTTTTGGTTTTTTTCAATAAAATATTATTTTTTTTATTTTAAGAAAAAATCGCATCAACCACCAAGGTTATTAGCGAATTGTAATTTACTAATTGGTGGATTACATACAAGAGAAATATGACACTATAAGGATAACTAAATAGAATTTAGTATGTTGATGCTAGAATGTTAGCTATTGGACCAGCGGGAAGGTTTGATTCAATACGTTGAGGTGCAAGAAAAGGACACTCTACAAGTATATGTTTTACCGTCAATTTGATGTCGCAGTGACTACATTTTGATTCGATTTTAGAGCTAAATAAATAACTGTGCGTTAGTCGTATATGACCCAAACGTAGCCTGGAGAGTAAAATTTGATCACTACGTTTTCACGGGAGTAATGACCATGGTTTCACATTGTTTTTAATTTCACTAAGTTTAGAAGAACACTTTTGCTTTATTGAACGGTTTTACGTCACTGCTAAATAATAATTGAACCGGTATGGCACTTTCACTATTCACAGCTTCTTTGGCCAGCTTTTCTGCTTGCTCTTTCCCACTTATTCCTATGTGAGAGGGTATCCAGATAAATACGATATATTTTCCCTTTAGCTGAGCCGAATAGAGTTTCTCTTTTATTTTGCTATTCAAGGGGTTGATGGTAAGGATGCGTTGTTAAGCAAATATAGAGCTAAG